CCGTGCATTTGCAGGCGCCCGAGTAAGCGACGCTCTTTACTTGTGGCGCCATCTCCTGGCAGGAGTAGTGAGTAGACAACGACTTCTCGCTTCGACTATCGGAAGATGGCGCCGGAAGTAAATAGCGTCGCTAACTCGGTCATCTGCGAACTCAACCTTGACTTTGATAAGTTATTTGCCCTAACTTCTTAAAGGAGGAGAACTACACCTTGAAATTTCACGCTGTAAAACTAACCGTTCAGTGCATATTCAATAATAGTTTGAGCTGCCGCAGGTGCCATTTTTCCGGTTTGTTTTACTGCGAAAGGTTCGCTTGTGCCTCTCTATATTTGAGTATTCGTTATACCAGCCTTTCATATTGACAGTTCTTCTCTAGTGCTTTTTTTTTTTGTAGAGGAATTAATAAAATAAAAGACGGAGCACGTCAATTATTTTTTAAAGTTTCATCGCCATTTCTATATGCTTAGTTTTTATTTTAGGTGTTATCTCCTTTGTCTTCGCTAAGGGAGCCATCGATTGTGAGGAGTCGCCGCAGTGGGTGGCCTGTCCGCTTGACTGACTGTCGAATTTCACAAAAACCAAGTTCGTTGGGATGCTCAAAGAAAGCATTGGAACGTCTTTCTTTATTTTCATTTGTTTTTGCAGCGAGCGTCGAAATGAAGTTAGTTTTTGGTGCTATCATTCTGCCGTCATTAGTTATGATTGAGATCGGTTTTCGGGAACGCTTGAATATTGTTTTACACGACACGTAGTTTTATTTATTTTTTCTACCAGATAGTATGACGTGATATCTATGTTTGTGAAGAAACTCATAAAACAATAGATTCACCGATAGAGATGCCCGAGTTTTTTGTGTCCCGTCAATCTACGTTCAGAGCCAAGATGGCAATATCTTGTTATACTTTTCTCAACACACTTCAATAATAACGGGTAAGATATGACATATTACACTACGGTACCTACTCCTAGCTAACTACTTTATTCTTAAACAATTAAATTGTAATTATGCGCGAGATTGTTTTAGTAATATTTATAGAACCTACATCGGTGCCGCAGTGTCTAAATGAATTACCTTCGGTTTTGAGTTTTAGAGTGCACAAGAAATCGCATACTGTTCGATACCGGAACTCAACATAACTTGTTTTATCAGTTTAAAAATGCCGCGTACATGGCAGAGAGGCAACGGACATTACTTTTAATAATTTCCCCTTCGTATTTCTTGAAGATTTGTGTTTTCTCTTACCTTTAGTGATCGACGTTCGAACATTCATGGCCGAATGCTCGAGATGTTAAGGGTCATAGAAAAAGAGGCCAGCATGGCTTGCTGACTCACTGTCGCGCTAGTTAGATGTTACAACGGCACCTCGACACTCGCTGCTGCTTTCTCGCCGCTCCTTCTTTTTTTTTTTTTCTTTTTTTTTTCTCTGGCAAGAGTTTGCCGATTAAACCTTTTTTTTTTAAATTTCCATTTGTGGATCTTGCACCAGCCGCGACAATATTAACCCTGTTTCATTCATTGTTCTTACTGTCAGGCTGATCAATGAAGTAACACGTTTTGATTTGATGTCTAACCTATCTAAGCCAATGAACGAACGATAAAAGGGGTTGGGTTTCTGCAGTGCTTCGCTGCAGGTTAAGTAAAAATGCGGGAGCATTGCTTGACATCTACGAAAGCTTGCTTCTCTGTATTCAAACGTCCGGTTCTCTCCTCTTGAGTTGTTTTGCACGTTGAGCATGATCAGGCTCAGCATGTCGCTGCTGTTTTTAAAACTGTTAAGCTATCTCCTCTTCAGTTTGCTCTTTTTCTTGAGCGGAATCGTGAGGACTGGGGCTCACCCAGTGAGCCCCTCGTTCCGCGATCCGCGCATGCGCGCGATAAGGCGATGGGGAAGAGACGCGATGGAAGAGGATAATGACGGGAAGTAAGCTGAACGCGAATTGTTTTCATGTTACTGATGATAATTGTTTTGGAAGAATGCCCAATAAAATCGTATTGTGTAAAATAGATTACCCCGTGAAATCAGAAAATCAGCTGAGTCAAGCAAAGATCATTGACACTCCGCGCGGTTCACGCTGCGAACTTCATAGTAATCGGGAATCATTTGCTATTAACTTCCTTAGATGTAGACGTTTCTGTCATTCTTTGTCCGCACTTAGTGAAGTAGTTTTGATCTACTTAGTGTTTAGCTTGTTGCGACACTGCAAAATAAAGACTGGCACCGCCTTCAAAAAGTTGTTACAGTTAGTACACATCGCGCGGATGAGAATAGGGCATTCCACCAATCTTTGGTTCTCTTTGTGCAAATCTTGAAAAATGGGCCGTGTCGGAGGCTCCTCCTTTTCCGTGGAGTCAAAAAAGTGGCGCTTTCCTACTCAGGGACATGGTGATGACATGTCTTGTTGGGGGTTCGAAAGTCGAGAATCTCCTACAGTTATTACATTTAAAACGTCTGCGAAAAATGAAGCTGAGGTCTAAACATCCGTCCGGATCGTGGTAATGTTGAAGGTTAACGCCGTCAGATGTCACACCAAGGAAAACGCTAATCCCATAAACTGTGCAATCGTTATGGTATGTTTTGTTAATATAAATACCTCGGGTAACCCCCTCCCCCTCTCTCCCCCTCTCCCAAAGCGTCTGTTACATGAGTCGTTCATAATTACGAGACGAATATGCATGCATGTTTCCAGTTTGTCTAAAAAAAAATATTGGCTATATAGCGGGAGTGGGTACTCATATTAAGGGGGTTCCGTATAAACGACACGTGATGTACCAGACCGTACCAGAGCGTACCAGTCCGTACTCCATAAACCCTATCAATTAGTTTCTCACGTTCTCACTGCCCAGTTTGGAAATCAGTTGCAAGGCAGTTTATATACTTTTAATGCTCTCTCAATCTCAGCTTCGGCTGTCTGGATGCCGATCAAGCTGCGCAATAAGACAGCCATGACAAAGTGGGAATTCATTGCCAATTATAAGTAATCGCGGCTTCTAGTTATTCTTACATTTATTATTTATTAAGAAAGTTACACATTGTAAGTAGATTAACGCGATGTCGGGCGTCTATTGCCTGGTTGGACCGGTTCTATTTAAATATCGTATAAAGCGTCAAAAGTTTGGTTTAAATGCAAACAAAATGAGCCTTCGTAATGAAGGATTAATTTAAAGAGTCGTTTTTTCCTCACTTAGTGCTTAAGCCACCTCCTCCCTATCTATTGCCCTCATGTGGCGGAAGCGGCACTTTCACACTTAGTGGCGGGTTTTACTTGTTGTACATTCTTGTTTTTGTTTTATTGCCCGCGGATTTTTTCTCTGTCTCGCAGAGCGAAAGGTGACCCGAGGTATATCAATTTATTCCTACTGATTAGTTTTAATAGATCATAATAAAGTCACACCTAGCAAACAAGTATTGCGAATAACGTATTCCACCTGGGGTGGTGAAAGGATTCAGTAAATGTTGATCATGAGATCACCCATAAATTGTAATTAATATAACACGTCCCTTCTTTGCACTGAGGCTGCATTCAAAGACCAACAGTATCCCGTGTTCTCAAATTTAAACACACCCTCCTATAAAGAGAAAACGTCGCAAAGACGTAGCTGCTTTTTAATGCTCTTTCTGCGCTTTCCCTGTTGATTTTTTTTATACTGCATTGTCTTGTGATAGCATTTTGTCGACTTTATTCCTATACCTGCATGTGTTGAGTGCTGCCTGTTATGCTTTCGTTTGATTTGTGTTGTTTTGTTTTCTTGCGTATAAGAAATTTGTTCAGAGAAAAATCGTGTTCTATACCAAATATAATCCTTTCGGTGTTGAAGTAAAAATGTTGTTTTGTATTTTCAATGAAATATTTGTTATTAATTTCTGCCAATTAACGTTAGTCAGTGGCCGTAAATGTTACCCAAATTTTCCCACAAGGCATAACTTTAAATGAAGTATATAAAATCAAGTCACAATCCCACTGTTTGAAGCAAATACTAATATTCTGGTTAAATTCATGAAAGGAATGGGTACTCCCTGCATTGCAAATAGATTACATGCCAACGAAGCGCGGAAAATTTTCGGCGAGCGTTAAATTAACTTTAATACACTCCTCGATTCGAGGACACTCTCAGAGTTCGTTTTTATCTAAAGGCTGCCCTTTCATTTTTCTCCCATGCCGGATATTTAGTGACATATATTTGGCCATACGTCAAACTCCAGTTTACGAAAAATTATAGGCATCCAGTAAATACTTTAGACAGAGAGACATGCTATCAAAACCATTCTAGCACACCAAGAACGGACACACTAACCTTTGCTCGCTCTTTTCTATTTCGCTTAGAGGGCAAATACGGTTGAAAACGAAACCACAATAAATGACTGGTATCGCTTTAGTTTCGCGAAACACGATCACAGACAAAATATTACGTCAAAGTGAAGCCACGTGCTCCACTAAAGCCCGTTGAAAGATGCGACCAGCTGCTCTTTAGCAGGCGGAAAGCAGGTTAGCTTTTAGTTAAGAAACTCTTGTCGCCTCACCCTTGTGACGTGACGTCGCGTCGTAGCTGCGGTTGATTGGTTGGTTGAACCGCATACCGTAGCGCCATGGTGACGCTACGTAGCGTCCGTACGGCTGATGATCAGTGCTGCCATCCCTACAGCAGATAGTTTTTGTTTTGCCAAAGACGCCCGAAACCAATCGTTAAACCACAACGTTAAATATTAAGAAAACAAAATACCTTGTAATGCAGGGACACTGCTTTAACTAAAAACAGTCGCAGTCCCAAATTTAAACAAAAAAAAATATTAATCGGAGGGGCATTTTAAGACTATGCAAGGCAGCCGAAAAATGCAACCAGTTCGTGCCGCCCTTTCTGGCCACGGGAGGACGCCAGGCTCCCACGAAATTCTTCCCAGCGCAAAAAAGCTGCCCGTAGGGACCACCAGGGCCCGATCTAGGGAAGACGGGGGACGTCTAGGGACAGCAGACTCCTCACGGGGTTCGCACACTCGATAAAGTGGGCACAGGGCGTGGAAACGTCCTAGTGTGCTCGTCGGAAGGCACCGCGAACTGCTCCCTGCGATCGGACTCGCGAACGTGCTGCATGCCGCGTTGGCTTAGGGACGGCAGCGCCGGGACGATGCCGAAAGGCGCATCGCTTTCGACAAGGATTACGAACTGTGCGTCATGCGAAATTGGCTGCGGTCTTTCTATCTCAACCCGCTGAAACATACTTCGGATGATTTCGCTCACACGATGCCTCTGAGTTTTGAACGAAGGGCGTGCGTCTCGTGATGTCGGCGGCGTCTTGTGTCGGATACTGCGTCCTCCTCCTCTGGTGTGCGGTGCTTCGGCTGTGCCCCGGTAAGCTTGCGAGTCATTGTCCTCTCGACATTTTTTATTAAACATATTCACTTGCGCGTTATGCTTGAACGCAGTTTAAAAGAGATTATGACTTCGGTCGTTGCTCTCACTAGTCAAAACTTTGGAGAGTGAGGTTTCAGTGTAGTAAAGTCAGTACATGCGTCTGTAACAGGCGGCAGTTTTCGAAAAGTACAAATTAAGTATCAAACAGGTCGTTGTACCCCCTTCCCTGTCTTCTTTCTCATATTCGTAATTTGTAGGTCTCAATATATTTTTATGTCCTAGTTTGCACGATTACCGGTGCACAAAACTGTGCAGTTGTTTAACTAGCAGTATCTGTGTGTGTGCGTGTGCACGTGTGTGTGTGCGTGTGTGTGTTCAAAAGACATGATGTACCCAGTGCGAAACTGGAGTGGTCTACTGCGTTCCTGTATCTTGCGGCGAGCGCTATATCGGCCAACCAGACCGATGTATTAACGATAGAACTCGAGAGAAGGCAGCGGTTGTAAAGAGCACACTAGCAGCGCACCTTTCAACCCACTGCAGGACTTGTAAGTGTAGCGCGACCCTTACTAACGTCAGCCTTCTTGCAAGGAACAGAAAGTAACACACTCAATAGCTAATGCTCGAGGCTTTAGCTGTTGACGAAAATGCAGAGGACTGTGTTAGTTGTCCCTGAATTACGCTTCATGACAAAGAAAAAAACAATATCTACGGTGAGCTTTGGCAAGAGAATTGTACAAACACTGATTCGATAACGCTTCCCAGTATCTGGGATGTGCGGTATCCCGGTGACTAGTGGTGGACGTGTACGATTGATATGGGCTTAGTTTTGTACTCTTATAATTTATTTTCAATCTTCTTTTAATTTCTTTTTTTTTATGAGATACTTCTCTTGTTTCTCTAAGTTTTTGAAATGTTAACGAAATTATTTAATCTCAGCAACTTGTAATGATCGATATGCTGATGGTGAAGACTAGGCCTGGGTTGAAAAAGGTGAAGATAGTAAATAATCGTGTATAGTCAGCTATTTTGTTTGTCCTGTCGCTGTGTAAGTGTCTTTGAGTTGAAGCAGTTTTTCCACCTTCTGTGAACTTGTGCCAACCAGCTTAACTCAGGTAAATGGTCAGCTAGAACGATAGGGACAAAACACAACTAGCTCAACTTCAGCTTAACTCACAGTAATAGTACATCTTTGTTTTCTGATGACCCTGAAGACAGCTCCCACTGAACGGCACGCGGGGCTGCTGTTCTTTTTGGAAATCACACCCATGATCTCGTTCCTTAATTAAATCGGTACTGGAACCATTTCCAAATATTTGGGTGCGCATATTCACTGAAGGTTCAAACCTATGTTCTCTGAAGCTTCAACTTCACATGAAAGCTCAAACTACTTTAAACTCAGCACGCCTATGTCATTTTGAATAGCCGTCCCATGATGGCGAATATAAATCCAACTTACAAACGTCTGTCGTGCTGACAAATGCATGAGCGGCAGTGCGTGGCTTTTGCTCAGTGTTTTCTCCGCTTGAATTGTTGTACAAAGAAGCGCATTCTACTGAGTCAGGCTGATAAGCCAGTTCCGTTGTCTGCTGACTGCACTATATACAATTGTGAAATAGCACGCCCTGTAGCACTACTTAGATAGTGGCCAGTTCACAACTTCGCTTGCTCCGGCTATGAAGTTCGGAGTAGGTGATTGCTGCTATACGGCCTGGTTAGCAAATTCATGGTGATACATGTATGGCGGCAGGTATAAATTAGGAAGTTTGAGCGGACTTGCTATTTTCTTATAATCCGCTGGTATAACACCAGTCGAAAAAAAAAGAAAAGCAAGAAATGTGTTCACTGGTATGCGGACCAGGACTGTGCACCGAATGCAGAGGTGCACGCTCGAGATAACGGCTCAGCCTAAGCGTGCATAGGAAGGCAAATAAAAATCATGCCGAAATCACTGCGGTCGCTATGCTGATTCACGTCGAAACGCCGCCAGCATTTAGTGCACGAGTTCCGACTCATAGAAGGATGGGAATTTCAACGTCGCAACGGTCCGCGTACTGTGGTCTTCGGAGAGCCAGTTCGTTCTGCCGGGTGTTGGCGGTTTCGTAAACGAAGCCGCCAACACCCGCTGTGGTGTGGTGCATATAAGCACCACACCACAGCTTTCTTCGGTCGCCACCGACGGCTCGCATATTGTTCGTTCTACGTTCTCGCATGAAATGTACAATCTTAAGAAAGAGCTAGTAGTATTTACTAGGTAAGAGCTAGTATCCGCATGTCACATATGTTAGTATGTACCTAGTAACCTCAGGTAGTAACGGTCAAGCTAGTAATGGTTACTAGGTCAAGAAGCTAGTAACTGTTACTAGACTTAAAGTAGAATTCATGCATTTTACTACAGTCTAGCTAGGAACTAGCGCTACCTTCCACGGAAGACCGGCCAAACCATCCACATTATGAAGGCCGGAAACACAACTAGTCACGTGATTTCCGGTGAAACAAAAGTGTGGGGTTATGCCACTTTCCACCAGGTGGCAGACGCAATAAAATTGAAACTGGAAATGAGTAATCAGCGTGGCGCTAGTCACCGTAAAATTAACGTACACCAAAAAAAAGGAAGCCGATTACTTTATAGTGTATTTCAATTCTTCCACATCCACAAGTAGATACATATGCATATACACATCCACATTTTTAGCACACAATTGACACACAATGCATTCAACACAGGTCACACACAAATGCGACACGCTATAACGCTTACTTTACACTCTTATCGCAAACTTACGAGTGCAGGCGGTGGGGAACGAACCCAGGAGGTTCACAGCGCAATCTTTCGAGCTGAGACGCGTTAGCCCACTCGGACACTTCCCCCCCTTTTTGTGAAATTTCAGATGAACAAACGTGCCAGGGTCAATGGCGTATGAATTCACAGACGACCGGGTTCGCGGTAGTAGGGCGTTGGACCATGCATCTTTCATGAGACGCAGCGAGCAGACAACGGAGTGCGTCATAAGCTTCCCGCGCTTATCGGGAGATGGCGACACACGTTACAAGCATCATTAAATCTGTCGCCTGCGAATCCTTCCGCCGTTGACCTTGGCCAGTTTCTTTCTTTATTATTATTTTTTTTTTGCGCAGAAAGCAAGCCATGCCTAAAATTTTCATCAGCTAATACTTGCTTTTGAAGAATTTACTTGAATACACATTCGATGAACGTTTCAGTATCTTATGCGCAGGCGTATATTTCGCCTGCTCACCTTACCAGTGTATGATCCCAAGTAACCACTTATTATACTATGTACGACCAAAATGATTCCAGAATAGAAGTGGACATTCGGTGATCAGTAACCTAAAAGCATGCAGTAATAAAGCGCAAAAGTGTTTTCTTAGATCAAATATAGCATTAACTGGGTTGGAGCTGTCTTGACCCTACCTAATCGGAGATTGTTGATCCGCTCGTCTGGGCATCACCACTAGATACTCAATTGAAAAACAAGGTTGCTTTTAGCATAGGACCTTTCAAACGCATACCCGCTCTTTGGGCGCACAATAAACATGAATCGATTCATTCAATAGGATATGTCTTAATCAAGCAAAACAACGCGAAAGCACGCAGCGATAGCGTATAGTAAGGCTGGTCGAAATATACAACAATCTTTTTTTTTATGGGCTGCATTTTCAAAATAGTTTGAGCATATATATTAATCGGGTGATAAAGGCGGTGAGACGCATTTAGCAATATTATTTCCGCTCTATTACCCATTTTTTACATGGATGAACGTATTGTAGTTTTTCTTAATAAGTAACGCGTCTGTCAACTAGAAGATTTGGGGCCATAATATTGAGTAAGGTATCAGCTACGGGTCAGCAAGGTATTGGGGAACGTATTAAGCAATGTATTATTGAAGAACGCATTGAGATATTTGGGATTCTCGTTCTCCCTAGGCTAGGGCTTTTCGCCTATGTTGTATGAACAATGTTTTTTTTTAAATTTATTTCATTAGGTCTTATAAGAGAACTCTTTATAAACTGGAGCACTTATTAAAACTCATTAAGGTATTTTAAAATTGACATAAATTATTTATATATATATATACATATACACTTTCTTTTGAGTGGGGAGAGGGGAGGGGGGATTAGAAAACAGCTATTCAAGTTAGAAGATTACATAAGTTCCCACTTGAACTTTCCTTGTAGAGGAGAGCTGCTCAACCTCTTAATCTCGAGCTCTTTCGAAATTCCTAACACGCTGCGACTGCGAGTTTTCAATCAGTTCCTTTGATGAGCGAGCCCGTCTAATTTGTGAAGTGGCTTAGGGGGCGGCCCAGCGATCCCTTCTCCACTGTCTTCCGGAGTAAGCTCTTCGCCAAATCCCCATCGAGTGATGGTAAATGGCCCGCACCCACGGCCTCATCTCTCAGCCGAATCCGCCCGCGCGCATCTCGTGGCCCGTGTAATATCCAGCTCATCCATCACTCTAAGGCGCTGCGTCGAAGGGCGACAAAGAGTTATCACCTTCGTGAAAGCAGACCCGCGAAAGCAGACACCACCATACAATCGGGGGAAACGAAAGCAACCCGAAACTGAAAACAAAGTTGGCACCGAAAGGCACAAAGGAAGTGGAAAAAAGGCCTGCCTGCCTCGCGTGGGCTGATGATCCGTGAACCCTGTGCTATCGGCGTAACTGAAGTATCAGCGCTCATACGCAGCGCCACTCCTCAGGCTGGCGATGCGCGCCCATACTAGTTCGGCGTGCATTTGGCGGAGCGAACGACGCGGGAGACTGGCACGGTTTCTTGTGTCCGACTCGCGCTTTGGGTGAAGTATAGGGCACTAGAAATTTTCGTGTAGTCAACTGCCACAAATGCACCAAAAGTGCGAAGGGAAATGTCTGCGGGAAGTTTTATACGTTTCCCGGGAGGTTATTTAAGAAATATCGCCGCCCTAATGAAATATCTTATTTTTATGCCAAATTTCTTGGTCCAATAAACGCATAT